CAATTATGGTAGCACAATTAGTACAAATGAAAAACAATTTGAAAACTTTACAAATTGCAAATTGCAAATTGCAGCACTTACACTTAAGTTATCCTCGTAGGCGTCCAGCGAGTGGACATTCCCCTTGCCGGGGAGCTCAATATCATTGGTGCTCTCGTATTCGTTGCTCATCTGACTGAGCGCTCGTGGGGGCGGCAGCCTTTTATTGCCCGCTGCCAGCTCCGGTCCACCGCCACCGGTCGCCCCATTAGTTCGATGGAGAAAGTTGGCCCGATTGACGCTATTGGCCATGTTCACTAATCCACTGCTGCCGTTACTGTAGTTGGCTTTGCGTTCATTAAGCAAACTTTCAGTGGCCAGCTCGTTCTCGTTGGCCACCAGGAAAGCCGCTCTGGGCGACGGGTTGTAGCTGGTGCGTGAGCTGTTGGTGCTGCTGCCCTTCTGCTCAATCAGCGGCGTCATCGCGTACGGCATCAAGGTGATTTTTTCCTGGTTCTCATTGTAGTTCTTCAGATCGTTCACTTCAGCGTACTCATTGTTATCCGGAAAGCTGGAGTACTTGGAGCTGTTGCTGTCATATTTGGGAAAGTTGTCGCTGTAGTTCTCGTTCAGACTGTGCGCCTTCTCATNCCGGAAAGCTGGAGTACTTGGAGCTGTTGCTGTCATATTTGGGAAAGTTGTCGCTGTAGTTCTCGTTCAGACTGTGCGCCTTCTCATAAGTGGAGCCTTTGTGGGCTTTTTTGTGAGTGTACACAAACACAATTTTCACTAAAATAATCACTAGTATGGTGAAAATGAGGGCTGCAAAAACGAAAAACCAGAGCTCATTGACTGTACGGTAGGCAGAGGGCTGCTGGTGAATGTTGCCTTCATCGCCATTGGCCACACTTTGCAACGCCGACTCTACATTCAAGCTGAGAGGTGAACTGTACGGACCAGTGCCCACAGCTGTAAAGGCGGCGGCGCGAATAGAGTAGAAGGACGTCAGCGAGAGATTGTACAGCACTATGGAGTTCAGGGAAACGTCCAAGGTGAGATTGGCGTACAGCAGTGTCCTGTTTTCCAATATCTCCAGGTTGTAGCCAAGAAGTTGTCCGTTCTGGGTCTCTTCAGAGGGCGGTGCCCACGTCAGCAGTGCGCAGGTGGAGTTCAGCGCTTTTGCACTGAGCGAGAGCGGCGGAGAGGAGGGCACGTCTTCGTAGGTGCGCACCGTCAGCGAATTGCTCGGCTTGCCCTCAATGCTCTTGAAGAAGGGCACAATGAAGAACTGGTAGACGGCGTACTTCCGCAGATCAGTGAGTATGTAAGAAGAGGAGGAGCCGCCAAAAACGGTGACCAGGTTGAATTTGTTGCTCTGCAGCTCAATGCTCGACGACTTAAGGTGCTGGTAGCGAATGTAGTAGCCGTCGATTAGCTCCGAGTTGCCCACCACCGACCAGATCAGCTTCACGGAGACGGAGCTGATGGTGCGCAGGTCACGAAGGCGAATGCTGACGTCGTTCAGCCATGAGCGCGCCTGGTTAATGTCCACATCGGCCATTGTCTGCGAGCTGTACGGGTCAGAGGTGGTGATCTCCTCGGAGACAGGACTAGGCAGGCCGATGCCGTGCTTGTTCTCCGCCCGAACCACAAACATGTAGCGAGTGTTTGGCCGCAGACTGTGCACCGTATGGACGTCGCTGTAGATGCGTCTGCCCACCTCCACCCAGCCACTCTTTATGTCGGGACTGTAGTACTCGAGCATGCAGCCGAGGTGGTTAGAGGCACCGCTGCTGCCCGGTCGGTGCCACATCAGTGTGATGGTGCTCTCGGTGACGTTCACCACCACCGGACGGCTGGGCGCCTCCGGAAAGGTGGACGGATCGGGCATTTTGTGGAAGTTGATGTTGGGATTCCGCGGCGATTCGACGTGCAGTCGCGAGTTCCAAGTGCTCATGCCGTTGCTGTTTGACGCCAGACAGGTGTAGATGCCGGTGTCACTTTGATGAATATCTACAAATGAAACAAGCAGATTGTTAAAACTCTCGTTCAAAACGCTCATCATCGCTTCTTACTTTGTATGTGCAGAGAGTTGGCTGTTATGGTGTAGTGAGTGTCGTTGTAGATGGGTTTCTGGTTGAAGAACCACTTCAGCGTGACTTGAGGGTAGCCGGTGGCTTCGCAAGGCAGGAAGGCTTTAGTGCCTTGTGGCAGTGTCTGATTGGCAGCACCAAGTCGAATAACAGGAGGAGGCACATCGGAGAGCACCATCACGGACAAGTGCGCTCGATTGATCGTCGAGCCCACCTTGGAGACGGCAGAACAAATGTAGAAGCCCTGGTCTTCCTTCTCAGCATTGGCAATGCTCAGCGTGCCGTCGTTGGAGACGGCGAACTTGCCATACGTATTGCCGGGAAACATGAGCACTTGGGTGCCCTCCTTCGACCAGAAGTACACCGGTTGAGGGTTACCACTGACCAAGCACTCAAACTTGGCCACATTGCCTGCGGTCACTTGGACGTTCTTGGGTGATGTCACAAAGCTAGGAAGTGCTGCAAAGGAAAAAAGACACAGCGAGTGGTGGTCAGAGGAGGCAATTAATCAGCACTCTTCACAGTTACACTTACAGGTTACACTGAGAACAGCTGAGGAGGCAATCTGCCCTGCAGTGTTCTCCACCTCGCAAACATACGTCNGGGGGGGGGGGAATAACATCATGATTAGTAAAAGGGTGCAAAATGAAGAGATGTGCCCTTTTCTGTGGCTTGCAACAAATCATGCTTACCCCTTCGTCTGATGGCCGAACGTGCGCTATCCTCAGCGCCTTGTCTTCCAGTATTTGCGATCTAAAACGGGCGATTTATGCTTGCAATTTAGTGTGAAGTGATCAGCCAGTACGACTTACCGAGCATTGAGTATCTTTCCGTCGTCTCGTTTCCAGGTAATCATCGGCTCAGGGTCGCCGCCGACTTTGCAGTGAAAGACGACGTCCTCTCCCGACATGGCAGTGACATCCTCGGGCGCTCGCATGAAATATGGCTTGACTGACCGTTCGGAGAAAGAAAGGGAGAGAGAACGGTAATTCGGTAATTAGTGGCCATGCCTTGGTGATCAGGTGCTCCATCCATGCTCTTTGTCAAAAGAAAGGTTTTTACCCAAAACTCGAAGAATGGCAGGCGGTGATTCACGAACGCCGAGTATGTTCTGCGCCACACAGCGGTACCGTCCGTGGTCCTTCTGTGCGACGTCGCTGATCACCAGGTTGTAACCGTCGAGCTTGAAACGGCCACTGCTAAGGTCGATTCGCTGTTCATTGTGCGTCCAGGAGACCACCGGCTCGGGGTGGCCTCGTGGTGGAGTGCACTCAAAGGTCGCCTTCTCGCCCAGCGCCACCCGTGTATTTTCAGGCATTAGACGAAATTCTTCGCGCAGTACTGTGACGAATTGAAAGTGTGTGTGTGTGTGCAGTAATTAGTTGGTAATTATCCTTTAGTAACAGACGACTGAATTCAATGCAAGCAAGTTCCTTTCTATTCTACTTTTCCATGTCGACGATACGCTCTTTTGGCCATTCAACTGCTACGATATGAAATACGATCGCCATGTTGCAGATTGCCTATGACACCCTTCTAAGGTCGTAATTTGCAATCGTTAATAAGCGAGCATTCTCTGGCAGCATAGCTTCAACCTACTCTCTCTCTCTTTCTATTTCTCTGCGTCGCTAAGCAGTGATCTCGGCAGAATGACACTTTAAACTAGATCATATCTGCTTATTAGCATTAGTAGGCCCTCGGTGATTAGCCCTAAAGCCCATCAGCATGGTGGTGTTGGTAAACTGCTAACGCAAAAAAGTATCTCATCATTTTCCGTTGAAGATGCTAATAACGCGTTACGAGTGCAGATAATTGTGTTCAGTGTTGAGAGGACTGTGACAGTGCTGTTACTGCGCCTGGCGGCACTCATTAATTTGAAGATGCAGTGACCGGAACAGGGAGAATGAGAGAACCCATGCTGAGTAGTGCATAGTGCTGCCCACCTCATTGTCACCACCAAATATTGCTCTACAAATCTGTTTCTTTCGAGAA